CGATAATATTGCCTGGTGACCGTTTTACAACTAATAATTATAAAAGCGTAATGTGTAAGTTGGAAACAAGCTGGAAAATGAAACTTATCGGCCCCTTTTTTTTTACCGACCTCAAAAAAAGTTATCGTGCGATTAATAGATTAATTGACTATCGCGACAGGCCTAGTGTGTATATATATATATACACACACACACACATACAGTATATATATTAAAATCACACACACACACACAATACAATTATATAATATACAAAAATGCTGTGTGTCTCCTGGGGGCTAAGCCCCACTTGTCCTTTAAACCTAGTGACACCCCTGTTCTTCACAGATTATCCTAATCTTTAACAGTTGCATCTTTTATGGCACAATAATAGTTAATACCACGTTCTGCTAATCCTTTGTCTGCCCAGTCAGGTTCTGTACAGTTCAGGTATTAAAAACAAGTCATGTGTACAAACAGGTCCAACAGGTCACAGGTACAGTGGAGATGAAAAGTGACACTCCTGCTAAAACACCAGGCTTTTCTGATGTTTCAAATGATCGTTTCCAGATGTTTCCCAGCTGTGACGTGACGCGTCACAAACAGTTWGATGTTGTAAAATGTGAATGTTTCCCTCCAGGCTGGTGGCGTCCTCACCTGTCACAATGACCGATCCAGCTGTGAGGAGGGTGGTCGGCGACATCATCCGCTCCCCAGAGGACAAGCGGGAGTACAGAGGCCTGGAGTTCACCAACGGCCTGAAGGCCATGCTCATCAGTGACCCCACCACAGACAAGTCCTCGGCTGCCCTGGACGTCCACATAGGTTGGTTTCCCTGCTGACAGATGTTTTTTCTTTTTGCTCCTTGTAAGTTTTAATGTAAACATTCATAAACAGGGGTTGTAATATCATTATATTAGTTTAAAGTGCCCGTGACATCATTTTTTTTGTAATAAATATAAATGTATTTTGGGAAAGATAACACTGATAACATATTGTAAAAAAGATTTCATGCCGCTGAGATGAACAGCTGTTGAGATATTTACATGTGAAGTAACAGGAAGTGATGTCAAAGGGGAATTTCTGAATGTGAATAGAACATTGCTAAAATGGCTAAGACTGTAGAGAAAAATAAGTTGATTCTTTAAATTATTTTAATCACTATCATATAGAGGTATGAGAGAGTCATATAGTTCAATGTTGTTTATAAAAACAAAAACCAGGGAGTTCCCCTTTGATGTCACTTCCTGTTTCGCTTTAGCTGAGCCAAGTTCAAAAGAAAATATGCCAATTATGTGACATAACAGGTAAAATCATGTGTATTATGCAATATTTCTTAAATACCTTTTCTTTGACTTCTGGTATTCCATGGATATGCATGTCACAGGCACTTTAAACTGGTTTCCAACAATGTTATCTTTTATCGCAATAATTTCTGAGACAATYTATCGTCCAGTAAACTTTACCGTGACATGCCTACAGACTGGAACAGAGTCCACAATACTCAGGAGGCTGCACCAAATATAGGTTGAACATCTGCATTTAATTAAATCCTGTTTTAAGAAGCTGCAACAGGGTCACAATTCTGGTTTTGTCTTTGATTTCCTGTCCATATTTTGATTGAATTTGTTGTGAATTCAGACCTTCGTGCGTCTGTTTGTCCTCCGTCCTCAGGTTCGCTGTCGGACCCAGAGAACATCTCGGGCCTGGCGCACTTCTGTGAGCACATGTTGTTCTTGGGAACAGAGAAGTACCCCAAAGAAAACGAGTACAGCCAGTTCCTCAGCGAGCATGCAGGAAGCTCCAACGCCTTCACGAGCGGCGAGCACACCAACTACTACTTCGACGTTTCCCATGAGCACTTGCAAGGAGCTCTGGACAGGTACAGGAGKGATTTAACTGTGTACAGGTGTCTTTTACCTGTTTGAGGCACCTTTGTCTCAACAAACACTCATCGAACAGCTGATAACTTTAGGGGTGCTCGATAACTATCGGTCCGATATCRTAACAAACAGAACCGATGATATAWGTTCAYGCTTCCAGCGCGGCGATGAGAATGCCTGTTTATTTTTATCCTTTTTGGTCGAGACACTTCCTGTCCGGCATGACCCGCGAAACATTCAAGTCGCGTTGGAAAAAACAACTTTCTCACTAGAACAATAATTAGAATACTCCGTGCTGAAAAACAACCAGTCATTTTAATGATTATTAATAATATTTTACCAATTAACCCTGTAAGTTACACACAAACTTTATAATTATAAACACGGAACAACTACTCCCAATTTGAGAACATGTAATGTCCGTTACCTCCTGAACGCATCACAAAGTCCGTCTGCTAAAATGCTAACAATAACAAGCTAGCGTTCAAGAACTTATCAGGACTTAAATCATTGCTGAGGCTTTAGAAAAATCCAATAAAAAATCACCAGAGAGGACGCAGATCTCAATTTAACGATGGAAATGATGACAACCAGCTGTTCACCCTCACTAAAGACTGAAGCTTTTATCACCTGTTAGCCACGGTTTACCATCGTTAGCCACAGTTTACCATCGTTAGCCAGGGTTTACCACCGTTAGCCAGGGTTTACCACCGTTAGCCAGGGTTTACCACCGTTAGCCACGGTTTACGATTGTTAGCCAGGGTTTACCACCGTTAGCCACGGTTTACGATTGTTAGCCATGGTTTACGATTGTTAGCCA